TTCCATTTTATGTGTGACTAAGAATTCATACTAGCCATCTCTCCTTCTCACATCCAAGTTCTTTAAATGAGATTTCTACTGAGGTCTCTGATTTTTTCCCCTTTCACCCCTACATCATCTCTGCAGCTGTATCTTGTAACAGTAAACTATCTGAGAGTTTTTATGCAACCCTATATCCCTGAGACAGTATTCTCATGTCTGGCAATGGGCGCACATTATTTTTTAAGTGCTAAGAATGCATGGTATTTCTATCTGGTCTATAATGTTTGAGCTTCACAATTAGGTCATGTTGACTAATAAGTGGCACTTGGGTCTCCTGTCATCAAGACTCAGCAGTCAGACACCATGGTGAGATTCCAGCATCCCCAGCCTCTGACTTGGAAGTCATCCCCATAGGCTGCTATTCCTGCCTCTAAATTCCAAAGCTATAGTTTCTAAATATTTTAGAAACTATATATTGAGTCACAGACACCTAGGGAATTCTCTCTAAAAAAAAAACAAAACATATACACAAGCACACCACTGGAGTTCATGAACCGCGCTCCCAAACCTCAAGTCTTCTGTAATCTTCAGGCTGTGTCCCAGGTAAAAGCCTCTGGCCTTCCTTTCTAAGATCCCAGAATGGATTCCTCCCTGCTGTTCACAGCCTCCCTCTACAAATGTCCACCAGTACCTTCACCAGGAAGTAGCTGTTTCCTCGGGTTCCATAAGTGAGTGCAGGTTTCCTCTTGCTAAGCCATAGGTTATCTGAGATCACAATGTAGTCTACGCTGGAGAAGAACCGGTCCTTTTCTTTTCTGATAAGTTCCTCCAAAGCAATAGAACCAGCTTCTTCCATCCCTTCCAGAATGAACTTGATATTCACTGGGAGATCCTGGATTACAAACAGAACAAATCGATTGTACAATTTTACCATTTCCCCTTTAAATAACCTATGATTTGTTTGCATTCAACAGAGATACAGGGGCCGGGATTTAGCTCAGTGGCACCGCGCCTGCCTCGCAAGCGCAAGGTCCTGAGTTTGATCCCCAGTACCAAAAAAAAAAAGAAGGAAAACAGATACATAAAATTATTATTTACATTCATATAGATCCTTTACATCCTCATTGTTAAGCTTTCTTTACAGCATTGAAGTTTTAACTGAGATTGGGGGGAAGATTTCAAGGCAGTGCTCAGGGAATGCACTCCAACATGGACCATCAATTTAGTGCTAAGACAAAGAATTTTGGGGAGTATTTCCTAGAGGTTGCACCCACACCACAGGGTTTTACTGTACTGTGGAGAGAAGGCGTTTTTTTCCTTCTCCCCAAAAGGAATTTTTGAAGAAAATTCACTCAATTACAAAACATTCTTCTGTCCTTATAATTCTGGTAATAATAAATGAGAAATTTTTTCCTTCGAATGATTGTTAAGCCTAAGCATAATTTTTATTTCCAGTACCTATTATTTTTCAGTGATGATTTCAATCTGACTTTTAATGTATTTGAGGGCTTTGATTTTGCAACATAATGGAAGTTGTTTTTCACTAGTTAGCATTAGGGCACAGAACAGCTCCTTTAAAATTTTTACATGTGTCTTTCCCAGTTGCATTTTAATCCCCCTCTCTCTTTCTCTCTTTCTCACTCTGTATAATTTATAACTTCTTATCTCTGCAAACCACATTATGAAGAGAGATCAAGGTTTTTCCTAGAGCACAGAATACTTGTAGGAGAGCTCTAATGGGAATTACATGTGGATAATAGACATAGTACAAAAATGCTAATCAGTCATAGTGAATAGGACAGACCACCACAGATCAACAAATGCAGGATGAGTAGAGGATTGTGTATTAGAAAGTAAGTGACCTTCAGCCATTCAGCTGAATAAGGACATTTGAGGATAAGGATTGCTCAGATATATCAGTTGCACTTCTGTGCATCTTAGAAAGTAGAACTGAAGTTCTAAAATTTTAATATTCACAAAAAGATTACTAACGCTTAATAAGTACACAATTGTTGAAATATCATTGGAAATGGTTAAGAATTTTCTAGTAAATCACATTTAATAAACTATAAACCAAACCAACATCTGCTAAGTGTTGGAGGCCTGGAAGCCAGATCTCCGTTTGGTTTCTATGCTGTTCCTCAACACTTCAGGGACCTGGGACAAGCTGTGTGAAATGAGCTTCTGGCAGCTCATTTCTCTATCTATGAAACTGGAATAGTAATACTACTTGATTTTCCTCTTCGTAAAATAGTCCAGTGAGATAAAGTGAGTTTAAATGCTGTGTCAGCAAGAAAAAAAGATGGAACGGAGGAAGAAACCAACCCCCACAAAGACCTGGTACAGTAGAGGATCTTTGCAGATGCTTCTGCAATTAATCCTTTCAAACAATCCTTTCTATGAGGCAGAGAGGATAATCTCTAGTTTACAGGTGAGGAAAATCAGGAAACAGACTTGTCTGAGGATAATGAATATTTCTTATGTTTCATTTGTGGGTATGTAACTTTCAGAGATGAAATTTAAAAAGCAGAGCAGATTTTGGCCTTTACATAAAAATTTGCGATAAATATTGGCTCTGAAGGAAAGATAGAGAGAAAGGGAGAGATGGTAGGGAGGGAGAATTATAAGAAGAGGAAGAAGGAGGGAGAGAAAGAGAAAGGAGAAAGATCAAAGCCACATTATTTAGGGATTTTTGTGTTTGTTTTTGTTTTATTAGTACATGTTTTCAGCAGGTGATGTTCACATTCATTTCAGGGAGTAGGTACATGTACTTAGTGTATCTTAATTATTTTTATTCCCCTTCCCCTCCCCATTCTTCTCCCTCCCTCCATCTCTAGATTCCCCCCCTTTTCATTTTTTGTGTTCATGTTTGCAACACATACTGATTACATTCATTTTGAGTCGTTGGTACATGTACATGACATATGTGTACATGACATGTACATTTTTTTACATCCCCTTCCCCTTCTCCTCTTTCTCTTCCCCCCACCCTCAGTCTCTTGGTCCCTTTCCTATTTCCAAAAGATGTATCTTCCTGTTTCCTTTTATCAATCTTTTATTTTGCTCTGTTAGTTCAGTGAGTGCCCTGGAGGAGAAGACAGTTTTGTATAATGATCAGCAAGCCCCGGCCAGAAACATGACCTGATTTGTTGAGCGTGTCTTTCTCAGGGAGGTAAAGGAGTAGAGTAGTTACCTCCCTCTGCTTGTGTTATGTCTTAAGAGAAAACAAATTCCTGACAGAGATGCTGCTAGCATCTGATGAAACAGTCCAGTTTGCCCTGAAGGACAGCTCCTGGGAGAGGTCAAGGTCTGAGCCTTGGGCCTTGGGCATGGCTGGGGGCATCCCACATGGACTCATATTCATCCTGTGAGACAGCATCCCTAGACTGACTGTCTTGCAGCTCCCAAAGCACAGGCAAGATGAACACATGGGGGTGAACTCAAACTTGTATCTCAGGAGCCTGCATCATACCTCCATAGCCTTTTCTACGGTGCTGGAGTGATGAAAACAGGCAGGGGGCTTGCTCTGGGAAATGCTCCATTTTTCCCTTTGCCCATGAATCCAACAAATGGACCCCATTTCCTTCTTAAATATCTAGTGTCAACATGCTTAATGCACTTAACCCATGAATGTAAGATGAGGACATATGGAAAGGTTGTACATGTTTTAAGGTTAGTGCCACAAGAGCTAACCTTACACTTGGTGGAGCAAGTTTCGAACTGGCTGTCTCGTACCCTTCCTATCTCACCATCTGCAAAGCTGACACAAAGCTTCACTGATATTATAATGCCACACTGAACAATGTTTAGATTACCTGCCTCTGAATATTTGTGTAAAATAGCAATCACAGGATCAAAACCTTGCTACTATTAAACTTCGTGCTCTAAACTGCACTTTGAGGAATGTTCAATAACAGGTACCCAGTAAGTTGGGTGTGAGCAGAAGAGAAACTGTTCCAAAGAGCTCTGAGTAGCTCCCTGGAATCTGCAACCACCTGAGCATGTCCAAAGGTCCCCTGTGAAACAGAGAGTGGAGCCTGAGTAGTGCACTAGTGTACGTCAGCCTCAGAACCTCTTCCACTGCCTGGTCGTCTGCATTTCCCCAGCTGTAAATCCCAGGGAAGTAGCTAGCAGGCTGACTTCCCTGTGGAGAAGCCCTGGAAGTTGGGATGTAGAAACTGTTCCCCTTTCTCACACCATTCCTCACCTGAAAGCTACCCCCTTGCTTCACACATTTCCCTGAACACTGAGCTAGCCCAGCAATAATGGTGAGACTTCTTCACCAGCACCCTGAGTGGGAGGTGAAGGCTGATGGCAGTGAAGGGCCAGGCTCCTGATCTCAAGCTCGTGCGTGATCTAACCGGCCACTTTAGGCTGAAATGGAAGTAAGCAGTGAAACACAGAATGTCCAAAACCCGAATCAGTGAACTCATCCTTACAGAATCTGAGACCTAAGGATAGCAAGTCACTTGCCCATAACCACACAGTAAATTTAATCCTGTGAGAATCTAGACACATTCCTTAGCAGAAGGTAAAAAACTGGTTGAAGACAAAACTACTCTTGTGAGAATATGGTAAGATATAGTTAAAGATGCAAACTTGAATCCACCTATAATGTCCTCTGGTGGACATTATTATATCTCCATTAATGTATCTCCTCCAAGCTGCTCCCTAATCTCTTTCCACACTCCTTATCTGAGCACCTAAGAAAAACTACTGGAAGAGACCTAAGAATTCAGACAAGATGTCAAGTAGCAGAAGATTCTGCCTTGTTAATTTGCAAAATAGCTAATATATTTGTTTAAATGTATGTGTGGCTCTGTTAAAACCGTACTTTGTGATGAGAAGGAAGAGACAATTTAAAAGAAAAGGATTTTTTTTAAAGTCACAATTGCAGATAGAACCTGCCACCTGTGGTGCATTTACCCCCTGACCAACACCAAATGAAGGATTTCACACCTTGGCTGCAGCCATTTGCCAACTCCAAGCCCACTTTGTGTTTTGTTCTCCCTTGACAGCAGAGGCACCAAGAGGTGGTTCCCCATCAGCCAGCAGAGGCACCCACCAACCAACCAACCTGATAGTAGAGAAAAACAATACCTTGGGAGAGAAGGTAAGTCCCAGAGAGTTGGCAGCTCCAAGGAGAAATGAAGTACTAGGACAACACTGCTAGCCTCAAAGAAAAGCTCATGGCAATTGTAAACTACAAAGACAGCATGGAGTTTTACCCTCAAAGTGACTCTTTCATGGCAGGTTAGAGTTGGAAAAGAAGCCCAGTGCAGCACCCACCATATTGCCAAAGAGCGCTTAACAAGGTGCCATTTTGGGAAGAAGTTAAAATGTTTAAAAGTGAGTCACAGAACAAATACAAAAGAACTCCATTTTAGCGTTTCTAGTGTCACCCTTTCCACAGTGACTGGGTAAGAGACAGCTACAGGAGACAGCCACAGAGAGGGTGCTGCCTAGGCATACACCCCCTCAGAAGTTTAAGCTTAGGTCAGGAGGACCTGGGCCCCAGCCTCTATGATGAGAAACCAGGCCTAGAAAGTGTGGCTTTCAGAGGCAGCTGGATCTGAAAGTGTTGGTATTCAGTCCTGCAGTCTACTTGAACCCCTGCCTGCTGCCTATATCCTGCAGAGACCATGGTCTGATTGTTCTCCCTGTCTACCATTCTGAGCAGGGTCATGCTTTGGCTCAGATGGATGCTATAGTCCAGGGTGTTGAACAGAGGGGCCTCTGAAGGTGGTGGGTACATCACAAACCCACAGGCTGTGAAGCTATGTGGAGAAAATCATTACCTCCTGGATTCCAAGACACCAGATCCTGGAAAGAAATCACTCATTCAAAAAGACAGAGGAGTTTTTTTATTCATTTTTTTTCTTTTTCCTTCATTGGTGTGTTTTGTTTTTTTTTGGTGGTTTGGTGTTTTTGTACCTTTCTCCTTCTCTCTTTTTTTTCTTTTTATTTTTTTTATTTTTTTTTCCTCTGTGTTTTCTTCTTTTTATTATTTATTCTTTTTGTTACTTTTACCTAATACTATGAATTTCCTTTCACTCCTCAACAGGATCCTTCATCTCACTTTTCTCTCTTTCTCATCTCATGATTTTTAAAATTGTTTCCTTCATTTTCTGGTTCTCACTCCCTTTATCCTTATTTGTACAGCCATTAACTTTAATAAGTCATCAGACAGTTAATCCTATGCTATTTCTGTTGAATACTTCCATTGTTATCGGAGGCAGAGTCGCTGCACTTATTAGATATTGAGTGTATGTTGCTATTTTATTTGTCTCAGAGTTTATACTGTAATCATAGATCTCTTTTCTATGGTTAAGGATAGCACATTATTGGTTCTTAGGTGTCCACTTTGTCTTTGGTGCTACGACTGTTGCTGATTGTATCGCTGCTGGCAATGTGGCCTAGTTGCTGTTATTAATTAATGTCTTCTCGCTATGCCAATAGCTGGATTGTACTTGGGTCCTTGGTTGCTGGGCCAAATACTTTGCAGCCTTCTCTCCCGAATAAATGGAGGTGGTTGGATCTTGGGCCAGAAGCAGAGGCCTACACTTAGCCGGGCCTAGAGCTCATCACTGAAAGCAGACACTGACTAAAGAGATCTTCATACTAGCAATAAAGTTTTCGACTATAACCAGTCTATAAATCTCAGCACAAAAACAAAGCAAAACAAAAAACAATAGAAACATGAGAAGACATGATAGTAAAATGTTCCCCAAAACTCCTAACTCTCCCAAAGCTAATCCATGAAGCATTTCAGGGGAAGAAATCAAAAGCCACAGAGCTGAATGATTTGAAAGGAGAGAGAAGAGTCTAAAAAACAGATCAATGAGGTGCTTGGTGAAGCTGAAAGAAGATATAACTAAACAGATAATGAACTTAATAAACAAAATGATCTGAGAGTTTACAGGAGATACTGATAAGCGGCTATCTGAGCTAAATAAAATGTAACAGTTTAGCACAGAATAGAGTTCATGAAAATGTACTAGAAAGAAATTCAGATTAAAAATTCTATGGAAAGTATGGGTAGTAGAAGTTACCAATGTAGGATAGAGATCAGAACCAGAAAAGAGGGCTGATATGGGTAACAGCATATTCAAAGATGCACCAAAAATAACAAGAGATGGGCCAGGTATTTAGCTCAGTGGTTCTGGCGCCTACCTCACAAGTGCAAGGTCCTGAGTTCAATCCCCAGTACCAAAAAAATAAATAACTAACAAGAGAACATGAAAAATTTATTGAACAGCTGAGAAAGACATAAAGGAAGACAATCTATTAATAGGAATTAGTAAAATATCAGCAGATAGCACATATGGCATTAAAAAACCTGTCTACAGAAATCATAGAAAACTTTCCAAATATAGGGAAATAATTTAACATATAGGTAAGTGAGGCATATAAAACCCCACATAGCCATGAACAATAAAGAACCTCTCCATAACACACTATAATCACAATCTCTGAAGTTCAACACAAGAACTGATTCTTAAAAGCTGTTAGAGAAAGACAACAAATCATTTAAAATGTAACCCTATTAGAATTATAGCAAAAATATAAGAATCAAGATATATCATGTAAAGGTACAAATTCCCAATGATGAATGTCAGCATATTGTATACATAAAATGTAACAATAAATTTAATGAAAAAAAAAGAATTATAGAAGACTTCTCAACACAAACCTTGAAGGTCAGGAGAGCTTGGAGTGAAATATTTCAAGCACTAAAAGAAAACAACTTCCAACCCAGACTGATATGTCCTGCAAAACTGTCTTTCAAAATTGATGGAGAAATAAGGTCTGTCCATGACAAAGAGCACCTTAAGAAATTCATGACCACCAAACCAGCACTCCAAAACATTCTCAAGAATATACTAGAAAAAGACAATGAAGTTGACAATGCAAAATGTCTAATAGAATGAATTACCAGGCAGGGGGAGAAGTTAAGTAGAAAAGAAAAAAAGGTAAACAGCAACAGGAAAATACTGCAATGACAGTAATTCTTTTCTGTAATAACTCTCAATGTGAATGGTCTACTTACTTAATCAAATGATACAAATTGGAAGAATGAACCAAGAAACAAATTTAAACAGTAAGCTGTATACAAGAAACACATTTAATCCAAAAAACTTCATAGACTAAACCCCCAAAAGATGGAAAATATTCCCTGCAACAGGGAATATTGAAAATAAGGAGTGGCTATCCTATTTTCAGCCAAAACTGATCAGAAGAGGCAAAAAGTCACTACACATTGGTTAGGTGAATAATTGAGCAGGAAGAGATAGAAATTATAATCATATATGCAAAAATCACCAACACACACAACTTCATAAAACAAACACTATTGGACATTAGAGATCTAATAAACATCAACCCAATTATAATGGAAAACCTCAGTACCCCAACAAATAGATCAACTAGTCAAAAAAAAATCAATAAAGAAATAAGAGTTGAACATAACCTTTGGACAAATAGACTTCATAGATCTCTACAGTGTTCCACCCAACAATGACAGAATACACATTCTTCTCAGCAGCACATGGACCTTTCTCCAAAGTTCCACATAGTAGCCCATAAAGCATGCTTAAGGAAATGCAAAAGAATTGAAATTGTCCCATACATATTATCAGATCATAGCAAGATGAAACTAGAAATCAATGGCAAAAGAAACCACGGAATTATGCAAATGCATGAATATTAAGCAATACACTCTTGAATAATCAATGAATCACAGAAGAAATCAAAGTAGACATTAGACAGTAGAAAAATCCTTAGCCAATCTTACTTAAAAAAAAAAAAAAGACCCAAATCAATGTAATTAGAAATGAAAAAGGTGAAATCACAATGAAAACTGCCAATATCCAGAAGGATATTAGCTGCTACTTCAAAAACCTGTACTCCAATAAATTGGAGAAACTAGAAGAAATTGATAGGTTCCTGAATACCTATAAATTACCAAAACTGAACCAAGAAGATATAAAACCCTGAAATATCCAATAACAGGAAAGGAAATTGCAGAAGTAATAAAACAAAAAACCTATCAAGTAAGAAAACTCATACCTTAGGATTCACTCCTGAATTCTACAAAAATATCAGGAAAAATCTAATGTCAATACTCCTCAAACTCTTTGATGAAACTGAAAGGAAAGGAGCACTCCCAAAGTCATTCCTGGAAGCTAGCATAATCATGATTCCAAAGCCAGACGGAGATCCAACCAAAAAAGAGATCTACAGGCCAAACTGTTTAATGAACTAAGACACAAAAATCTTCATCAAGACACTATCAAGCAGAATATAACAAATCATCAAAAAGATCATATATCATGACCAATTAAGCTTCATCTCAGGGATTCAAAGATGGTTCAACATATGCAAATCAATGAATGTAATACATCACATAAACAATTCCAAGGACAAAAATCACATGATCTTATCAACAGATGCAGAAAAAGCCTTTGACAAAATCCAACATCCATTCATGATAAAAACCCTGAAGAAAACAGAAATACAAGTACCTTATCTCAATCTGATAAAAGCCATTTATGACAAACCTCCTGCCAACACCATATTAAATGGGGAAACCTTGAAAGTTTTCCTTCTAAAATCAGGAACAAGATAAGGATGTCCACTATCACCACTCCTGATCAATATTGTATGCAATACCTTTGGCAGAGGTTTCAGGCCAGAGAAAGAAATAAAAAAGATATATATAAGAAGGAAAGGAAGTTGAATTATCATTATTTTCAGACGACATGATCCTCTACACAGAAGACCCACAAAAGACTCCTAGAATAACCAAATTCAGTAAAGTAGCAGGATACAAAATCAACACATAAAAATCAACAGCATTCCTGTACATAAATGATCTGAGAAAGAAATTATGAAAATAATACCATTCACAATACCATCAAGAAAATCTAAATACTTAGGATTTAAGCTAACCAAGGAAGTGAAAGACCTCTACAATGAAAACTACAGCACTTTGAAAAGGGAGATTGAAGAGGGCATCAGGAAATGGAAAGATGTTCCCTGTTCCTGGATAGGCAGAGTCAATATTGTCAAAATGGCCATACTCCCAAAACTGATGTACAAATTTAATGTAAT